GGTGGGGGGTGGCGAAGGGGTAGGGGAAAAGAGGTAGATATCAAGGACATAAATAACATAAACAATGATTCTCTTTTGTTAAATGAGAACGAGCTGTTTCTGCTATTTATGAGTCCGCCCAAAATGTTAGCAGTTGCAGTAGCAAAATATGTCCACGACTGTTTCATAAAAAGATCACATACAGTACAGAACTAATATAGTATGTGGTCTTCCTACCCAGACTAGGCTAAAATAGTAATCGTACTAAATAGATTAAATAGGTGAATCTATGATAACATAAGAAAAACTACTTTAAATCAACAACTATAACCTTCATACTTTAATGTTTATTCGGGTAAAATGTCAATGTATTTTATTATTCACGATACCGAATAAAAAAGTCTGTCTGTCTGTCTATTAACACACTATTTCTTCCTTCACTTTTGGCCTGTCTTCTTCCCTGTTCCCCAGTTCCTTCTTATCTCTACGCAAGCCAATAATCTACGTCTCCTAACTCTTAATGCTTTCAGATGACTGCCAACGACGAGACAGTCTTCAAACACATCATCGACAAGGCATATGAATCGTTTGCATCATACAAATACTACAGAAAAACATTCTTTGATACGTTTGTTGGCATCAGGAAGAACGGCAAGACCAAGGATGGCCGAAGGACCAAACTGTCTCAGAAAACCGTTCAGTTCTTGACTTTTCAGCCAAGCAGAAATCCTTGCTGATGTTACCTTCTTTTACCTTGAAAACCGGGTCCATTTTTGCTTGAAGTAGGTATTTCCCAAGATACAGTTGAATGAATGTACATGTACTATGCAATGCCTCGGTTTGATTACACAAAGTGTTATGAGTGTCATGGTTGTCTTACAGGAGATTCCTGAAAGGGGGTCGTACTCCCACTTCCCAGCCCTCATTTGACCAAGTCCCATAGTCCCAGCCTATGTTTTGCTTAAATCTCAATCCCATTCCCATTTTTTGATTGTTTTTCTTTTTGGTTTTTGAATCCCATTCCCAGTGCATAAAATCCCATTTTACCCCATTTTACCCTTTCAGGACTCTCCTCACACTCATCATATGATGTTYGTTTTATTGGATGATTTGACGACGAGACAAGGTAGGATTGCCAATATAATTATCTGATTTATCAGCACCTGAGTCTCTCGTTGTTCAATAGTCCAGTAAGAAAAAAAGCTAGTAGTTAGTAAATTATAGATTTCTGGCGCACTCGACTGTACCTTGGTAAAGGTCGTCCCTTGCAGCACGTCGGAATGCAGCCCTCCGTAAGAATTCTTTTACGAACCACGAAAAAAGTAAAATTTTGCATTAAAAAAAAAAAAACTACGGAGTTTTCTTAGCTACTTCTACACTTGAGACCATATCACGTCCTGTGTAGATCCGGCGTTTAAGTGGTTTAGAATGAGAAGACATGACCTTCAAGCTGTAATAGTCTATAAAGGTTTTGCATCACGTACCTACGCCCATAGCACAGCTTGGGCTGCTCGTGGTTAGATGGCAGTTGGGCTACCCGTGGTTAGATGGCAGAACAATAAAATCCCTTTACTCTTGGGAATCGAATTCTTTCTCGTGTAAAACGATTGTATTGTTCCTGCCATCTAACATGGCTGCCGTCACGTGATCAAGTAGTGCAAAACCGCTATAGAGCTAATCCACTCTTTTCTATTTCAGACCACGTGTCATTCCCTAGAGTATCATTTCTTTTTTTAACGGTTGCGCATGAATATGGATGCAAATCTTGCAAAGAATCTTATTCTCAAGGGAATGACACGTGTTCTGTAATGAGGAAACATCATGACTAGGTAGATAGGTCCATCCCATTAAGTTTCATTTCAGTCTAACTTGTGTGCTGTAAATAAAATATTAGACAAGTCCAGCAATATAAATATTCGTAAGTTATGCTAGACCAGAATGCTAGACCAAAACGCACCCTGGTAGAAAACTGACCTATGAGAGTACCTGGATGTAAATATAAAGTTTGAAAAATAAAGTTTTAGATTTTGCAGTTCTTTTTCTTCCTTCCTTCCTTCCTTTCTTTCTTTCTTCCTGTTTTTACTTCTTTTGTTCCTAATTGTCTTTCCATTTTATTTTTTTTTGTTTTCTTTTCAAATTCTTAATTTCTTTCTTTCCCCATTCCTATATATATTTATACCTAAACACCTACCTGCTATACTTTTCTTTCCATGTGACGTCATGCGTCACACACATGACAAGTTTCTGTTTCTGCAAGATAGTACCACAAGTGATAGTAATTCAACAGRTCTAAAAGTAAGGTAGAAATTTTTGTTTAAATTAATGTGATTTTTTCGGATCCCACACGGAAGAGCGCATCAGATATGGTTGCATGCATATCATATTTTGCTGTAGAAAGTTTGGTATTACACTGTTTAAAATGTAAAGTGTTGAACAGTGTTTTTTTGATTTCTTAGTACTAATCGTAATAAAGAAATACTCATAGAGCCATAATAAATGGAAATGATAAAAAACTAAGAGTGTAATTCAAAATAAATCATTCTCAAGGGAATTAAAATTTCCACAAATTTCAAGCAACTACACAACATGTGCGGTTTGCATTTTGCTGTAGAGAAAGAGACGCAGCTTTAGCATCTCACATTGTACAACGTAAAGTGATTGACTGCTTGTCTACGTTTATATTCCCATGGGAAATGGATTTTTCGTATAATTTATTGTATTGCGCATGTGGGGTTACTATTTTGCTGTAAAGAAAGGAGCGTAACGCAAGTATCCCACATTGTAGGGAACTGAATATGTCGTAATTTTTACCTACTGCTCATGTGCGTATTGCAATTTTCTGCAGTCAATATTGCATCCCATATTATTAAACTTAAAATAGTTGATCCTTTTCCTGCTGTTTTAATCCCAAGAGAATTAAATTTCTCGCTATTTTTTCGTACTGCACATGTGCGTTTTGCAATTTGCTGCAGTCAACTTCGCATCCCATATTATTAAACGTAAAATAGTTGACCCTTTTCCTGCTTTTTTAATCCCAAGGGAATTGAATTTCCCGCAAATTTTTCGTACTGCTCATGTGCGGTTTGGATTTGAGCAATGAAAAACAGCAGCATCCCATATGGTTAGTGAGGTCGATATTATACAGGTAGAAGAAATGTTTGCGTACAGGGAGGTTGGTTGGGGACGATGGAGGCTAAGACTCTATACACTAGACACTTAGACACTTAGACACTTAGACACTTAGACACTTAGACACTTAGACACTTAGACACTTAGACACTTAGACACTTAGACACTTAGACACNTAGACACTTAGACACTTAGACACTTAGACACTTAGACACTTAGACACTTAGACACTTAGACACTTAGACACTTAGACACTTAGACACTTAGACACTTAGACAACTTAGACAACTTAGACAACTTTAAACAAACATTTAGTATCTATCCAAGATTCTTAATAAGATTCTTAAGGGGTCGGATCAAAAGTACCCCCTTAAAAAAAAATCAAAAGTAAAGAGAATTTTAAAAATCGAAAATCAAAAATCAAAAATTAAAATAGAAAATCAAAAGAAAAAAATCAAAAATCAAAAGTTAGGGTTAGAACCCTAACGCAAACCCTAATCAACTAGGGTATGTGCTAGGGTTCTAACCCTAACTTTTGGTTAGGGTTAGGGTTAGATCCCCAGTACATACCCTAGCAAATTACTAACCCCAACCCCATACGTTCATATACACTATTCTGTTCATTTTTTGTTTATTTGTTTTTTAATTTAAAAAAATATTAAAATATACTTTATTTATATCTTGTTAGGGAACCGGCATGCGCAACAGAGACATGCCACATACTTGGCAACAGTATTTGGAGTAGTAGCATCTTTCGCCTCTATATTACCAACTTCAGTGAACGTATGGGACCGACTTAGAAAAAGAAAAAGACTTCTGCACATGCGCACTTTTTGATTTCGATATTTTTTAATTCTCAAGAGAATTCATGTTATGCTTACATGTCAGTAACCCTGAATCTTTCCATGTGGGTTCCTAAATGTTTGCGTCATATCTCACCACACATGCGCAATGTTTCTTTTCTCAATATTTCTTCTCAGGCACCACACAGCGCAATTTTTCTTCCTTTTTTTTTTTTTTTTTTTTTTTTTTTTTTTTTTTTGTTTTTGTTTTTTTTGTTTGATCACATTGTTTCTTTTCGATCATAGAGACTACGCAAACAAGCGCAATGTTTTTTTCATCTTAAATATCCGCTATTTTTCATTTTTATCATAGAGAATCCAAGCTCTGAGTACATGATCAGCTATCAGCCTTCTCATGTGGGATCCAAATTGTCTGGGCCACACCCCACTTTAGATTATTTTTTTTGAGCTTTAATTCTTAGGCCACTTAATATATTTATATTCTGATTTCAATAAATAAAGTACAACACTTTTCAGTTTACAATTATTTTTTTATTACCTTCATTTACACAAAGATACACAAAAGCCTTCACAAGTAATTTTTTTTCTTGAATTTTTCTTCCGTTTATCATGAGTTCTTTTTCTGCTGATAAATTAAAAAATTAAATTTAGATTATTAAATTATTAAATTAAAAATTGATAGTTAAGTTATAATGAGTTACATGTTTTCATTCGTTTTTTCCTCGGACTCGAATGGCTATATATATGAAGGATCATGGAAAAATCATTTACGACAACAATTGTAATAAGCCTGAAGCAAGATGATGTTTTACCCCCGACCCTATACCATAATAGTTTTTAAAATTCTTTCATATCAAAATTTTTGATTCCTTAGAGAATGCAGGAACAATAGTCATAATTAAAGAACAAAAGTAGTGTGAAAAGGATTATGGTCTAGATACGGGGGTAAAACGTCATCTCGCTTCAGGCTTATTCATGTTCACTTTTGAACTGTTTTAAGTGGACGAATTAGACTTCATCATAGAAATATCTTCCAATCATTCACTGTAAACCACAGCCTATTATTTACAACATTCGCGTTAGCAAGACTAATATTTCTAAGAAATATACTGCATTTTGCCTATGACAAATTATTAATCAAACGCATGAAAGATAACTTGCTCGTAATGAACGACGTTCTATTCCATGTGGGATGTCATAAAGCACTCTGCACATGATACTTCTTTTTTTCTTCTTCTTCTGGTTCTTTTTCTGCTAGCTAATCATCTGCTTCCCAATTAAAAATGATAAATCAAAAWATTAAGGCCCCGTCCACACGTATCCGGAAATTTTTGTATCCGCAAATTTTTTTTTCGGATACAGGTTGCGTCCACACGTGTCCGCAAATTTTTGTATCCGTATCCGCAAATTTTACAAAAACGGAACCTGTGGACTCAAACATTTTCGTATCCCTAAAAAATAATTTGCGGATACAAAAATTTCCGGATACGTGTGCGAATTCTGAGATGAATTGCCCGACAGCCTCCTTGGATATGCATGTACCGGGCTACATATAACCATTTAAAATTAAAAAGTGAAAGTGAAAGTAAGGCTGCGTTCATAATGTATGCAGGGCAGGGGGGGGGGGGGCAGTCGAAACTGAGGGGGATTGGGCAAATATTTGGTAGGAAAATGGGGGGACGGGCGATTTTTTATCAGAAAAAACGAACGAATACCTCGTTCCTGCCATTTATCTTACATTTGACTCAATTCCTATCAATGTAAACATGTCTGTGAGAATAAATCGCTTGACTGAATTTAGAATTGTTCTGGTTGTTTCTGCGACCTAGACTGCGAGCTAAGTCCCTCTATTTCCCTTGGTCACTGTCCGTCTGTCTGTCCGTGTCGATTGCTCGAAGAAGATTGGTTACGAGTCAAAAGTCCCTGGGGGAAGGGGGCTGGGGAGGGAGGGACGACCATTCTCTTTCAATATATATTCTCATACTCATTAATAATTCAAGAGTAAACCAGCCAATCAATAGGTTATTTTTGGGTCACATGATGTTACTTGAAATCTGGTAAATTCCTGTAAAAGGAATGCATTTCGTCTGGGGTAACCTAGGACTGAATTAATTTTGTTCCAGTTACTCCAAGTCGAATAATTAATGAGCACGAGAAGTCATTTCAAAGCCTCCAATATCGGACTGGACTGTTCAAGTGCAGCTAATTGCTTAGACTTGAAATCCTGTCCAGTCCTCATTGTCGGCTTTGAAATATTACTTCCAATAACTTTCAAATTAACATTTCTCGAAACTATAGGGGATGTTTGATTGCAAACTAGATTTACATAAACTAGTAACTAGAATTATTCTGGTTGTTTCTGTGACAATTCCCTTATTTCTTTTTTCCCAATTACTTGAGCTGAAAAAATGTTTCTTGGAACTTGGCTGGTTTGATTGCAACAGCTGGATTCACATAATTAATGACTACAATCATTCTGGTAGGCAAATTCGCCTCAAGTGGCACCTACTGGACCTGAGAATATAGCCAGAAAATCGGGTCTTTCCTTTGGTCTATAGAAACCTTCTCTCGGCACATGGAAAAATAAATACCTAACAACAACTGGCCCAGGTTTCAAACGAATCGATCGATTTTAAATGCCTGGTAAACATTCGAAATGCATGCACTTTCTTCCGATGATCCGGTCAGACCAGAGCTACGCCAAGCGCTGCCCAGCGTTAATATTTGAACTTCCGCCAAGACAACGGAAGAAAAATGCAACCAATCAGCAAGCATTCAGCTGATGACTGGACGTGGGTTTTCACCTTGGAATCGGTGTTTTGACGGAGACACCCACAGTGTCGTAGCAAGATCAAAAATATTGTGAGGTTTTTTTAGGGTATTTTTTATTTTTTATTTTTTTTATTGGAGGGGGGGGGGGGCTTCCCCGTAGCCCCTCCCCTTGCTACGGCCCTGTCATCAGCTGAATCATCATTTAAACAATGGTTGCAGTTTTCGATATTCGCATTCTATACAGCTGAGTTGATCGCTTTCCCTGAAAAGGATTATGGGTCAACTATTTTTGGTTAGCATTTTCCAAGTAAAGACGGATAGTACGAAGAAGTTCTCTCTTGTAAATATGAATTAAATTCTTCCATAAGTTCAAATAGTCTTTATGATCAATTTAAAGAAGGAAGAACACGTGTTTCTTAGGTTTTCTTGGTATAATTTTGACAAGATGCTAATCAAAATATAACGTCGCATCCTCTATCCTGATTGATTGAGTTTGTCCCGCAGGTCAATTCAGTCGGGTACTGTAGGGTTCGCATGAAGAAGCCAGGGGTTTCCCGAACGATTAAACAAGAAAATGAAAGCCAACACTGTGAATCAGACAGCAATTTTAGAATATGACAGAAGGCAGTCTTCTCATTAAGATTATAAAAGCGAACCTTAGAACGACAAAGGTTCATAACAGCTCTGATGCTTCAGGAAACACAGTGGAAAATCGCACACTAACTGAAGCCTCTTCCAAATGGAAATTCTATTTACAGCTGTTGCTGGTACATGGGCGTTCTATAATGCTTATAGAAACATTCGACATTTTCCTCCTCGTCTTTTTTATAATCCTGTGTTACGTACTCTTTCTACTTTTGTCCTAAACGAACCAACATCTACTTGGTCTAAACAAGAAGAATGCGAAGCGGCAGCGGCAGTGTTTTCTGTCATCGCTGGTGTAAAGTTTGTCAGCGAAAAGGATGTTCAAAAGCAGCTTGAGCTGGGCAAGAAGGTGACACCAGTCGAGATCAAGGATGTCTTCTATGGTCGACTCAGCTCTTCCCAGAACCAAGTTCACGACCAACAACAGCAACTTTACTACGTTCCGGATTCCGCTTACGATCCACAGTACGACTATGACTTTACTGACTACAAGGGAGATGACACTAACTGTACCAGAGGAGACTATCCTTACAAGAGACCAGCTGGTTGGAACAGAAAGGCTGTGAAAGTGATTGGCAAGTATGAAGATGATGTTTGGTTGGGACAGCAAGGCTGGAGGGATGAATCTTCCCCAGGAGAATGGCCAGTATCCTACTATGGGACCAAGATAGAGAACGTCCCCAGTATTGTGGCCGGTGGATACGACACCAATAAGTGTGTGCGTAAAGCGTATGGTCCTGGTATCTACTCCACACCAGACATCAATGTAGCCGAAGGTTATGCTACAAACTTCAACTACAAAGGAGTCATTAGCATACGACAAGGATGAACTTTTATCACTTCAAAACGCATTATTCAGACTGAAAAAAAATTGGGTCATTGCGCAGCTCATTAGTGTAGAATCAAAATCTCGAGAATATTCTCAAATGTGTCATAGGCACTTTAAGAACACGTACCATCAGTAATTCTCAGTACTGAGGCATCCTCAGGCTAATATAAGGACTTCCATTTGATCTCTTTTTGACAGCTCATCAAAAACCAGCTAATCATCGCGCAGAAAAATATCTGATCAAGCACTCAATCCAATCGAATTAGTGTCATGCTAAAAAATAACATAGCGGCCGTAATCAGAGAATATAGCTCTGAATCTTTGCTTTCCTAGCTACGTTATGGACTAGCAATGCATTTACAATTTTACGTATACTTATAACAACTACTCATGGGTCAAATGCATGTTGCATCAATTCTTTGATGAAATTATCTTGGAATGATAGCTCTTTGTTCGCAGATAAACAACTGAAACTAGGACTGCCTGATCAAATACAACCATTCTTTGCTTGCGTTATCCTAGATCACCAAGGGGTTCAATGAATCTATATTATATCGAACGAAACAAGAAGAGCACAGTATTATAACCTTTTTAGTAGCTTTTCAAGTGCTACTTGTTATCCACTACATCAGCAAGTGTCAAACGTCAGGCTTCGCTCACTCGGGACCAATATATTATATACCAGCTTCATATTCATGCATACATGACAACCATTTATAGTTTCAACATTTAACACTAATAGAATTCTACCACACAACAGGATTTTGACAAGTGCAGTGCTCCGGTCAGGATGTGACGCAAGCAATACTCCAGGCAAATGGATTCTATTTGCTAAAACTCTTGTTCGAGTAAATTCCATCGCCGGGTACTTGGCGTATATATTTTTGAGGCAGAACTTAATTAGCACGCTCCCCCGATCCAATCGGCATAAATAGAGTAGGTTTGAAAACTTATATGCGCTGCTTTAGAAAGGAAAAAAAAATCCTTTCAAGCATTGTTGTTTGGTTTTCATTTTTTGCTGTTCCTTCTCTTTTTATCTTACAAAAAGTAAGGTTAGCACGTGCTACCTACATCTGGTGGCCCGTATCTCCTGGCCCCACATCTGATGGCCCGAAGCATGCTATGATTACGAAACGTGGTACGATGAGTGAGATTTGTGTTGTCAATCATCAGACCACGTGATATGGCATGACGTCACATATCACGTGACTTTCGAACCAAACATTTTCGCCGATTTTTTGCGAACACTCATTACAATGAATGCTATGGTAACGAAACTTGTTAAATTGGGTGACACTCGTGTTGTCAGTCATCTGACCACGTGACATGACGCGACGTCACATATCATGTGGGTTAACAATCAAGCATTATCGGCAATTTTTGCCAGTAGTTTTGACTTACGAACAATTGCATGTTATCATTTCATCAAATGAAATAATACTTATTTTAACGAAATTCGCTTCACATACCTCTGGTGGCCCCATCGTACCCACCTCTAATGGACCAGCATCTTGTGGCCCCATGCACACGCATCTGGTGGCCCCTTGGCCATGACGCCTTAACGAGGCATGCCATGGTAACGAAACTTGGTAGCATTGGTGAGACTTTTATTGTCAATCATCTGACATCGCGACATGGTGTGACGTCACATATCACGTGACTTACGAACCAAACATTTTCGCCGATTTTTGCGAATTTTTATTACAATGAATGCTATGGTAACAAAACTTGTTGCATTGGGTGAAACTTGTGTTGCCAGTTATCTGACCACGTGTTATGGCATGTCACTTACCACGTGACGTAGAAGAACAACACTATAGTGACAGTCATAACGAGAGTAAATACATTTATGTCTGAAGTTAATTCGATAATAAAAGCTGAAAAATATATTAGCATGTGTAACCACAAAAATACTAAATTCAGTTTGTTTAGTGCTTATTCTTGGAAAAGGATACTCTTAAATATGGTCATTTGAAAAAAGGATACTCTTAAATATGGTCATTTGAAAAAAGGATACTCTTAAATATGGTCATTTGAAAAAAGGATACCCTTAAATACGGTCATTTGAAAAAAGGTTACTCTTAAATATGGTCAAGCATACACTTAAATACGGTCATTTGAAAAAAGGTTACTCTTAAATATGGTCAAGGATACCCTTAAATACGGTCATTTGAAAAAAGGATACTCTTAAATATGGATGTAAACTCCATGGTAGAAAAATAACCAACATATGGCTTGATTTGGGAATGGATAAAAAGGCCATTCCAATGGCGCAAAGTCACATTCTGGTTTCTAATAGTAAATGAGAACAATAATTTAAAGTAAAGGGATTGGGCTTCCTGTGGTATCTTGGTTCAAGGTAGGTCAACTCGCCTACGTCCTTACACGCCTATGCCAACTCGCATACGTATAAAATCATCGATTGTGCATTTGAATAAATATAACTGGCATAACAACAATTGCGATTAGAATTTAGGTAATTTTATGAATCATTATGCACCTGGA